CCAAGCACGCGCCCCCGCGCCTCCGGGGCCTGCCACCAGCCCGGCCACCATGAAAATGGCAGGGGAAAGGAGCAGGGAGGGTTTCCAGAGTGGCCTTTGCTGGGGCCCCCCCACCCCAGCCCGTCTTTCCGGCCGGGACGCGTTCGGCCTGCCAGGCTGCGCGCACCCACCCACGCCAGCAGCGAGGCTCAGACCTCTTTCCTCCTCTCTGGTTGTTGCTTTTATCTCGCTCCTCCCTGTTTTGGGTTGGTTTGTTTTTTTGTTAGGGTTTTGGTTTTTTTTTTCAGCCGTGGCTTGCCTCCCCGCGCTGCCATGGGGCAGGGATGGGGTACACAACAGGCCCAGACACCCATTTTTGGGGCAGAAAGGCCCAAAGCCACAGACGAATGTCGCATCGACGCCGCTCTCACGCAGAGCCGTCTTCCACCCAACCTGCCGCCGCGTGCGGCCAATTGCCCTCGCAGGGGCTGCGCCACAGCTTGGGCCAAAAATATTCCTACAGAGGTGGAAAAAGGAAGGGGGGAGGCAAGCAGGGAAGGCTGCTAAACCCCGTGGTTTTAATTAAACGAACGCAGAGCTTAACGAGCTCCAACGCCTGACCTCAGAGCTTCGCCAGGAGATAAGGCGTACTTGGAGGACTCTACCCCGAGCCAAAGCCAAAGGTCCTATTGTTGCGGTGAAGATTTATCTGGCCAGAACAGACCTTAAATCCAGACAGCGCTGCAGTCGTTTCCGTTTTCAGCAAGGGCAGCTGTAACCCATGGAGTTTCTGTGGCTGGAGGGACTTGGGAGGGAGGGAGCAGGTTGGGAAGGGAAAGTCTGACACAGGGCTCAGCCTGGGCTTTGTTAAAATGCCACACGGGTGTTTACGTTGAGACCGAGTTTCCAGGAGGGAGGATGCGCGTGCCCCATTCCCCATCGCCTGGAACTGGCTCCTCGGCAGGAACCGGCTCGCCCGGGACGGGGATCGAGAGCCAGCGCTGCCCGTTAACGCCTCGCTGCGGAAAGGCAGCCGCAGAGAACACGTGGCTGCTGTTCAAAACCAAAGGTTTAGCCCATCTGCTTGGGGATTTATTATTTACACCAGGGTTCGAGGAAGGGTTTAGGCTGCGGGAGCACGTGGGGCCGGGCAGGGCTCAGCGCCATTGCAGACAGAGAGAGGGAGTCGTTTTGTACAGGTTGGCGATTTATTCCTACTCACCCCTGCACACAAGTTCTATAAACATTAAAAAAATAAGTATATATAAAAGCATGTTCTTTACTCATTTTCTCAGTACAGCGGTGACGGCAGAGTAGGCTTCGATAGGGGAATCAGTTTTAAAAAACCAAACCAAAAAAAACCTGTTCAGAACAAGCCACAATATCAGCTTTTCCCCCCAAAATTAAGCTATTTCATCCCTTCAGGGGGCTGAGGCATGGCCAGAGCCTCACTCTTCCCCCGGTGCCCCCATGCAGACATTCAATTCGGATCAGCCAGGATATTTTCCGGGTGCATTTTGCTCATGGTTCCCGGCACCCCGTGGGATGGAAGACTGGAACAACCTGACCTGGGAATTCACAGGAGCTTTCTTAACCTGCGCGGTGGGGGGGAACACGCTGGTCTATGTCCCCAGGGAGAGAGAATCGGTGACTGGAAAGGGAACTGACAAGTACTTCCAGTGGAGTTGATCAGAAGGTAGCAGGAAAAAAATAAACTTGAGAAACATTGTGAGTTTGGGACTTCGTGTCACGGGCAGAAGGGAGTTTTCAAAGTATGGGGGGGAAATAAATCAAGTTAACAGCCCGATTGCTTTTCAGGGAAAGAAAAACCCCAACAAATCCGAAGATGGGGGGGGGGTGTTAAGGGGGTAAGGGGCACACCAGCCTTCCACAAGAGAACAAGGAAAACCCTTTCCTTTAAAGGAAACGTCTAATCTCAAGTCAAATTAGCAATACACTAATTAGGAAACCCTCATTTATCACAAAGCTCTCTTGGAAACAACCCTTGAAGGCCAGCGCAATGTTCATCCCAAGTTCTCCGTTAAGCCGTAGGAGAGAGGCAGAACTCAGCGGCCAGGGACAGAGGACAAGCAATAGCTTCGAAGTTTGCCGTTTTAAAACAACCCCAAACCCTTAAGACCACTCACGTAAAGACACAATATACTCAAGTTCCATGTTTTTAAACCAAAATGCTCACATCTGTTACAAACGCAACAAGTTCCCCAAGTTTCAATTATTAAAAAAAAAAATAAAAATATATAAATCCAAACAATCCAGAAAGCATTTGCCTTCGTTCTTACACCACTGTGCGCGGTTAATTGTTAAATTAAACCCTGCAAAATTCAATAGTGCTTTTGCTCTCAGGAGAGGGCAGAACTCAGGTCCTTAACCGCAAATGATTTTTTTTTTTTTTTTTTTTAAATATTTCCAATGTCTCACTGACTACAAGGAGCCGATAAACTCCACTTTACCAGACTAAATTGCAAGGGGCTTCCAAACTACATGGTTTGGGCACTGATCAACCGACGGAAGAGTAGAAGGGTAACGCTTTTGAACACGTGGCAATCCTGAGGTGATAAAAACCAAATGGCATCGCAGCACTGTCCCCGGCCAGGGTGCAGCCAGCCCCTCACTGCTTTGCTGATTGTCTGCCTGGCTTCTTTTCCTGCTGGCCTCTTCCGCTGCCTGGTATTCCTCGGCCACGGCCACCAAACACACCTACAGGGCAGAAAGAAAGAGCACAGATGTAAGAGCATCCCTGTAAGCCAGCAACGTCTCCTGGCCGCTTAGAGCTTTTCAGTTATTTATGTTTTACCCCAACACGAGCCTGTTTTCCAGGCTTTGCAGAGATGGGACTTTCAGATTTCTCCCTTACCAGTTCCTGACCCCTTATTTACAAGGTGCACAAACTTCTTCCCCCGCCCCCCATTAGCAAGTTCAGCGATACCTCCCTGGTGGGTTAACGTGCCCTCCTGCTAGCTGTGCGATCATCATTAATTCTTCTGAAAAATGGGACCAAGGAAGAGATGCTACATTTTAAATCCAGAGGGATGAGCATGTCATGCTGCATCCCCCGAAAGCTGTAAGGGCAAACCAAAAGCAATGAAGAGGGTGATTTGTTTTGAACACTGCTCAGCTCCAGAACAGAAAAAAAAATACATCCCTCTGTCACCACCTCACTGCTGGACAAAGGGATCCACCGCTCCAGGGAGGGCACTGGGTAGAGCGCGCTGCCACAAGGCAGCAGGAGCCGGGAGGCTGCCGCGACACCCGCTGCGGACACACGAGCACCCTTGTACCCGAGAGCTGCGACCGTCTCCGTCATGGGAGCTGCTGAGCCCGCCCCCATCCTTCCCTCGCTGCTCAGATTCACCCCAAAAACCAAACAGAAAGCGATTCCAGGCAGCAATTTCTATCTCGGCGTGCAAGTGATAAAGGGACGGTGGCTCTGCCCTGCCAGCCACCTCTGCACAAAAGGCAGAAGCCAAAGGAGACCCAGTCCGCGCACCAGGCAGCAGAGCTTCTCCAGAGCCCTCTGCTCTGCTTGGAGCCTAAACCCGAGGCAGAAGAAACTTGCTCCTAACCCTGCAGTCCTCAGGATGCTCACAGGGCTCCGGCTGCTCCCAGCAAAGCTGAGCAAAGACTGCCGTACTTGTGAATTTGGCAAGCCCAGAAGTAAAAGACGAAGGATTACCCGTGTCAGAAACAATAATCCTTTCAACTGTGTGCACAATTATAGCTTTACTTCTGCCTGCTGGCCTCCCAACAAAATTGTCCTTTTTTTTTTTTTTCTTCTCTCTCCTCCCTTCATGTCTCAGTAATGAGCGCCAAACCTTTTAGCTAATTAGCAAATGCTGAAGCTTCCCTTTAAAATATTCCATCAGCGAATTTAAGCTGCACATCAAAACAGCAGGGAGCTCCACCTCAGAGCTCAGCGCTGCTCTCCACAAGGTGGATATTTCCACAGCAGAGAAAATATTTCAGCTAAAATGTTTGTCCAAATAAACCATATCCAAAGAAGCTCTTATGCCAAGTGCTTTGGACACTGAAAAGGGAAGGAGGAAAAATAAAGGCGCCTTCAGATTTGTAAAGGTCACTTTTGCATGCTCGGAGCTGCCAGGCGGTAGCATGGGCAGCCGAAGTCACAGGGGTTTTTCCTCCAGAAGTCCCTGGGAGTCGGAGACGCGGCACGTGGCACGTCCCAGGGTGGCGTGATGGCCCCGGGTAGATCCCAGCCATCCTGCCTGGATTCCTTGCATAGTCAAAAAGCAGGCACCTCGTTACGGGTGCTCCGCAGAGAGGCTTCGCCCGGCAGCGCCTCAGTCCCCAGGGCTCCTTTTAAAACCTAAGATTTCCCAGGCCAAACCCAATTTTGTTGTAGCAAGTGAGCGTACTCAGGATTTTAAGCTCCTACTGCAGGCTAAGCCTGTACCGAGAGCAACCCTGGGGCCGAGCGAGGTGACCACAAAGTGAATCGCAAAGACATGGCAGGGGGGGGGAGCAGAACAGGAGAGAAACGGGGCTTCCAGCAGGACAGTTTGGGGAGAAAAAGAGCAAATCTATCCCCAAGCTGAAGTGCTCCGAGTCACCTAACCACGCAAAGCGGGACAGGGAGGGAAGAGCTGTTTTGGTGACCTACTTCTTCCTAAGTGGCAACCTCCCCTTTTATCAGAAACGTGAATTATTCATGTTGAGCACGGGGAACACAACCCCCCTGATATTTTAAATAAATAAATAAATAAATAAACGAACAAGTCAGGAGATCAAAAGCCCCATTATAATGGGAGAAAAGATGATGTTTTTCTATCACTGCCCTGGTCAGAGCCCAGTCTATTTTCAAACAGAATAGCCATTTGTTTCCCTCCCTGACTTGCTAAGCTAACAGACACCAGTTTTGTTGGGCCACACTCCTGACCTAGCCAGGAGGGCGAGAAACAGTCAAGTTCAGACTCTCTTAAGCTCCTGCCCAACCCCAGTAATGAGGGAGGCACATCCCTGGCACGAATCCTTTCTATTCTTTGGCAGAGGCTGCCTTGCAAGCAAGGCAACACACGCGCTCAGCTAGATCTTGCACAGGAGCAGCTCTGGCTTCTCCCAGACACAGTCCCGGGTTTAAAGCCGAGAAGCAAGAGCCATTCCTTGTACAAGAGGTGAAATTTCAAGGCAGGATCCCACTTCACCCCTCTCCAAGCTGAAAACCAAACAGGATCATTACCTCGTCCAGCACCTCCAACACCACGGCCCTTCTGTTGCTTCTGCTGTTGCATCCCGCCACGGCCTCTGCCCTTGGACACCACCTCTTCTTTCACCATGTCAATTATTTCGTCGGGGATACGCAGGTATTTAATCGTACTGCCACGAATGTAGCACTCTGGCATTCTCCAGAACTTGTCTCCATCCTATTGGGGAGCAACGCGTTAGGCTACAAACAAAACCTGGTGCTTTTGTATCACTTTTGGGGCATTTGAATATTTCCATCACTGCTGGAGAGTGTGACAGCTCTGCCGCTCTTTTCTGAAAGCATTAACTGTAACTAGCTGCAAAAAAATAAAGGTGGGGGTTTTTCCTCCAAAACACGTAGCCCTACAACCTGGTGGGGGCCGGCACTCGGCCATGAAAAAATGTAGTTTCGGTTTGTTCCACAACTGCCTCTAACAGTCGCAGAAATGAAGGAAGAGGTGGCTGAGGAAACAAGCACCTTCCCTTCCTGTAGAAGAAGGGAATCGAAAGCGGGACCAGAGAGGTGAGGGTGGTTAAGTTACACGCAAAGGCTATGAACAACCAACTCCGGCAAGAAAAAAGCAGCTGGAGCAAAGGCGTATGCACGGCCGGGTTTCTCCTCCAGCAGCCTCAGCTGGGAGTCACCTCACTCCTTCGCTCCTCTGGGGTGTGGATGGAGCAGCGAGGCAGGTCCGGAGCCAGCTGGCTGCGGGGTGTGTGCCACCAGAGCACAGTAACTGCAGCTGCAGAAAATAAGGAGCTTACGGATTATATATATATATATAAAATAAAACAGTCTTTGGTGCCCAGTTGCAAAGCAGCCACCTCTGTATTTTGTTTGTTAGTTGTTTAACGCAGTTTCAGGGCTTTTCTAGGACGCAACCTATCAGGGCTTCACTTCCCGCATATTGAGGGCGGCTGTGGGAACGGGAATCGAGCGTCGAAGCTGAACAACAACTTGGCTGCCCATGATGTAACTGGGAGGAGGGAGGGGGACCCGCCTCGTCCCGCTCCGCCACCGCAGCCCCAGCTCAGCGGCGGGGCCCCCCGGCGGGG